AGTTCGCCAAACCTACTGATTTTCTTTACTTGCCCAAGGGCGTACTGTTTTGCTTTCGAAATTTGGTTAGGATGAGGAAATGCAGTAATGCTAGTGGTCAAAATCTGTAATTATTGGTTGTAATGAGTAGTTGTGTTCTTTATGCATGAAAGTTTTGGGGAACAATCTGATTTTTGAACACTTTTGGACCGACAAATGACCCGTTTTTGTGCTTTTGATTGGACTTTTGACAATCATTCCCGGAAAAAACGTCTGGTCAGGAGATATCACCCCACCATTACACAAATGCAAAGTAATCGTTCTCGCTGCCGCTGCCTTGGTTTCTTATGACAGTACTGGAGCGTATCGGTGGTTTCGGGAAAAGTCGAATGCTTTGGGATTTGAATCAAGAATAAATTTTGTCTTCTGCAATTCGTACATATGCAAAGCGTGTGTTACGTTACAAACAACACCCTGGAGAAGTTTGATTTTATTTCATTTTGACCTATGGAAATGAACATACGAAACAATGTTTGAATACCAGCTAGGCATATCGGACCTCACAATAAATAAGCTTAAAACGCAATTCTCAAGGCTACCATCACCTGCTTTCTTTGCACTTATCATTCTTGTTATTCTTGTGATCACACACCCCGCGCTCTTGTGAACATTCGATGCGCCGTACCACGCTGATCCTGTCACATATCTTCAGCCGCCATCCAGCCAGCCATCTCGAACGACGGCCATCACAGGAGCACGACCAAGCGACAGGCAATGCCAGTAAAAACGTCGCTTCGCGGAAGAAGAGGACCATCGCCGGCACATGGCCGCAACCCGAGTTCGTTGTTATCCCCTGCCTGATCCACTGTGTGCGGGATGCAGGCAACAAAATCTATCAAAGACGCGACGAGGCTGGTTGTCATCACCACCTGGGTAGAGACGGGGTCGGTGATAATCAGCGCCCGGCGCCGCACGTCGTGTGCAGTCTCATGCTTCGGCAAACAGTCGGCTATCAGCTGCTCGGGCCGCCTGACCACCGGTGTGTCGACGCCGCCGTCCGGCCGGCTCGCGTAGTGCGGCGTCTCCACCACGTTCAGCAGCAGCGGGATGATATGGCCGGTTAGCAACATGGGCATGGCGTGCACAAATAGCATGTGCTGCTCCAGCAGCGTCATCAGCGTCCTTGAGAGATAAGACAGACGGTGTCACCATCCAAATCTTCAGGCTCCAGCCGTGAAGCACAATTGGTGCGGTCACCAGCGACATCTTGTCAGTGTTTGGTCAGGACAAACAACGGCAGTGGCTACCGTCGGACTACTACTCCAAACCCTAGGTCAGACTTCACCAACTTCTCCCGCATCAGAGCGAAGGTTATAAATCAGCGCCAAACTCGCCTGCTTTGCCATCAGTTAATTTGTCTGCACCAAGCACCTACCTGCCGGAACCAATGCCATCCTCGCCGTCCACTTAAAACGGCGTTCACAACGACCGGCGAAGTATAACCGGATGCGCGATTTCAAATGGCAGGGTCCAAAAAAACGGGCATAGGAAGCAGGCACGCTCTTTCTACGGAACGGGCTGCTCGATGTTGGAACCTCCACCAATCGATTCAATGTAAGTAGGCTGGTCATGGTTTGGCTATGTCAAGACCTGACCTGAGGTAAAGCACCTCAAAAACGTGAAGGGAAAACTTAGCATGCAAACCAGTCAGCTCAGAACCCCAACCTACTGCACCAATTACTGCATAACTTTCACCATTGGATACGCCGTACGTCATTCCAACTTTCAATTGACGTTGGGTGACCGTAGAGCAGGTCAAAAGTCATCAAATTTTACAACTTGAAAATCATTGCTTGCAGGCAACTCAGCTCTTAGAATCAGCCGATCCGATCACTGCTAAACCTTCCTCATTAGATGTGCCATACCTGATTTTTCCCGGTTAAGAAGTTGGTGACCCTAGGTCAAGCGAAAAGTCATCAAGTCTCCAACGTCCAAACTTCCTGCTTGCAGCCAATCCATTTATCAGTACATTCTGAACCGATCGCTGCCAAACCGTCAATCGATAGGGCCTCGCAACGTCGATCTGGCGATGTTACGCGCCTTGTAACTCGGAAATTACGCAAAAATCACCCCCAAAACAGTGGTTTTCGGTATCAGCGTGTTGATAAGGCCTTGCACACCAAGTTTGGAGGCAATGGAGACGCCCGCGTTATCCAACTGGGGTGTTATGTGTTCCATAACTCGGAAGTTACGCAAAATCCCACCCCAAAGGCAATGAATTTCGGAATCAGCGTGTCGAGAAGACCCTGCACACCACATTTGGAGGCAATCCAGACGCCCCGCAATGTCCAACTGGGGGTGTTACGTGTCGTATAACTCGGAAGTTGCGCAAAATATTATTCCAAAGACAGTGATTTTCAGAATCGGCGTGTCAAGAAAGTCATGCACACCAAATTTTGAGACGATCGTGACGCCCCGGAATATCCAACTGGCAGTTGGATATCAATCTGCTGCTAGATTGACGGATGTTCGGTGTTCGTGGTCTCTGACCGACTTAGACACGCGAATTGTCTCAGGGGCTCCTGAAATGGCGCAAGAGGACATCCGACTGACATTTCAGATCACGACCTTAAGGGCCACGATTCTTTATGTGACCTACAGCTAGTCTTTCGGGCCCTTATGCTCTCCAACCGGGCCTTTGATCATCGGTTCCCGTGGGCCGCCCGGGCCCCTCTTCGGGCCTGATCGAACACTTCCCTTGGTCTGCTTGGGGCCATTGCGAACACCAGCCCCTTTGTTAGCCACTAGGCTGCCGCTCCGCAACTATGAAGACTGCAACGCCTGGTGTCGAGGTTTTTGTTGCTAAGATTTGCGAGCGCGCATGTTAAAAAACTACGTTACATGGATTGTGTCACCAATGGATCTGACTGAATAGTCAACATTTCCAGAAAAACATGACGGCCATCTTAATGCACATTGTTGACCACTCGATCTGCACTCAAATTTGGATCAAACATCGATCTTTGCGATGCTCTTAATGTCTGTAGAACCCAGATGAAAAATTCTTACCAAGCTTCTGAATTCTATCGGTTTGGAAGGAGTTCGCTAAATCAACCAATCTATGGGCGCCGGTGATTTACGCCATGCGGTCGTTGAACGCCTAATTTCTGCAGTTTATTGACCTCGACATGCAAACAGAATTGATCTCACGATAGCTTATAGCTCCTGCTCTGGTTACAAGGTAAAAAGAGCAATGAAACAAAGAAAGAATAGGTCCGTTGTTGACAGGTAAGCTGTATCCGGAGATTTTTGGGGGTCACCACAAGAAGGGCTTTTGTCAACCCTGCATTCCCCATAGCACGGCTCTGGCTACGCCCCTGCCTACACACAAATCACATAAAGTCGTCTATATTTGAAAATGGGCAATTAAATGTCCGTCGGGCCAACCCATACCTAAGGCCAATCGATACCAATCCATAGCATACCATAGCATACCATACCATACGCAGCCTCCCGGATTTTTTTTTCTGGGGCGGTGTGGTGTAAAGGCAGATAATTCGGAAAGAGATACTGTTGCAGGTATCCAACACACGTTTTCACACCAATCAGTGGCAATGCTGATCCAGAAATACGCAACAAAGCAGCCATATGGTCAGTTCGCAGTCAGTCATGCGGGAGACGGCCGGGCCAGGGCAGTGGAAGGCCAGGGTCAGGGCCTCAGCAATCCAAAATGTTTGCCCGCTCCGGAATTTCGCCTCCTCAGGAAAGACAATGTTAATATGAACGAATGATCTTGGGAAGCTGGATAGCCTTATTTGCCGAATGACATAGATGAGACGAATAGGCAAGATTGTCAGCTCTAGATAGACAGCTCTAGATGCATATCTAGTATAGCAGCCATGACATTTGAATGAAGAGCGACAACAACCTCCATCTCTGCCCCTTTCCCCCGGTCATCGGGCCTGCTTTCCAGATAAAAGTTCCTGACGTACACTCTGAGCTTGGCCCCCACTTTTTGAAGTGTTTCTTCGCCTATAAGCCAAGACCGCCGATTTGCGGAGGAAGATAGATATATGACCAAGTTGTTCTTTGCTGTAAAATGCTATTTTTCTTGTAAATATTGGTGCTAATTGGTCCCATATGATCGAGGCATATGATGAGGCATATGATGCAAAGGAATGTATGTCGGGTTCGGGCATTTCCATGGTCTTGGACGCAACACAAGGTCACGATCTTCTAGGAAGGATAGAGTATAGACCATGGTATGGCTATGACCATGACCATGACCATATAGACCATGGCGTTCGATCGGTAATCACTTGTGAATATTTTCCTGCTGGCATATGGGGTTTTCTGCGGCAAGCTTGGTATTCTGGGCGCCTTTTATGACCTCTGACGTAACTTAAGGCCAACATATTCATTAACAACCATGGCGCGTCGATCACTAAGGTTTGTGCCGATCATATTCACAGGCTTGAAGCATGAGGCTGTCTGCAGACTATCTTCTGGCATTTTCCAGCGGTTTTGGTGAGCTTTTACATGACCAAAGCTCAGATTGTTTTGAAAAGGATATGCTATCAACCTGGTTTATCGATTGGTAAGAGTTTTGTGCCGATCAGTCCCGTGGGCTTGGAGCTTGGCATTTTCTAAAGCCAATCTGGATGGATTTGGAAATTTTTAATCGTCTTTGATCTAGCGTGAGGTTAGCATGTGCTGGAAAAGACAGCATATTTACTATGGACACTCGGTTGAACTTTTTGTGGTGATGCGTTCCATTGACCTGGGACATGGGTTGTCTGCAATCTAATTTTTCTAGTTTTTGACATTTTTAGGACATTTTTCTTAGTTTGTGGTCACTTTTTGTAAAAAGAATAAGTGACCGACTAAGTTGCGTGGATTTGTGATAACTTAGCGTTCATCAGTGTCATGGGCTTCGGGCATCATGTTGTCATCATGTCTTGTCTGTTGTTTAGTTCCCCCCCCCCCCCCCCCCGGTCTGGATCCTTGGCTGCCGACCAAAAGTCTCGGGAGGGCTTGGCGGGCGGGGCCGGGTGTTCGAGAGTACGTTGTTGGCGTGTTGCCTACGAGGAGGGAAGTGTTTGGGTAGGTGAGTAGTATTCGCAAGCAGTGTTCTTGGGACTGCTGATAAAAGAAGCATTTCCTATACAACCTTCGCAGGAGGAAGCGTCATTTAGCCTGTAGATGGCATCTACGCCGCAGATATGACGATGTATGACAAATGGCAACAAGGAGTCGGCTGCTTAGATGACCGGAGGCTACGCACGTGTGGGCGGTATGAATTGGCACTGTGAGGCGAGAGTGGTCTTACAACCATTCTCACATGGGAGAAGGAACCTAAATTTGTTGAAACTTGTGTGATGGGGGGGGGGGCTGATGGCTTCTCACCCCTGGCTTCTCAAATGTGTTTGTTGGCATGTGAAGCCCGCTTAATTTTAACACCAAAAAAGTAATAGGGGGATGGAAATCGAAATTGGGAAAGCACCTCAATTTTCATGGGAGTGAAGTGACAGGAATGCTACAAAAGAGTACAGGTAAACACACCTAGGACCATAACAATCACTAAATTGAGTAGGCTGACCTAGTCATCATCATATTGAATGATACGACATGTGTACCTGCCAATTTTATTTTGTGAACAGTTTTGTGTATGTAATATGCTGTTCTATAAGCATTGGTCAAGTAAGGCCTTCCTGCATAATTGCCATTCAAACCAAAGCTAGCCCTCCCAATTTGATAAAGCAAGGAACATGCCATATGTTGATCCACTCAGTTTGCTCTGGTGGTAAAACTAGTCTTAACAATGTCAAGTGAGTATCACTGAGACATGGGGTCCAAGGATGTAGCTGGTCATACTCTGTCAAGCATGTACCATGATGGGTTTGCCTGTTCAGGGCAAGGTAAGGTAATGGTTTATTTCAGATTTGAGGAACTTAAGCAGACAAAGCCAAATATTACCAAAGCCATAGATCATCATATGGCTATCACTTTTGTTGACTAACAAAACAATTCCTGGCCTAACCCATGGTGTGTAGATTGTGATGTGCTGAAGTACTAAATCAGCCCTCCTGAAAATAAAACAGGGATTTCAAGGCCCACCTTGTGACTTGGATGGTGGGGGTGGGCTCTTGAGCATTTCTCAGAAGCTTTCCCCCTGTAAATGTAAACAACCCACATTCCCCTTTTCATTTGATCACGTCTTATCAATTTGTGTCTTCTGCTGCAATAGCTTTAGATCACATGCACCGTTTGTTCCATGGAGCATGTTACACCACAAGCCTTATCCTGCACCCTATCTCTCTTCTTTTTCAGAGTGAGCCATAGGCACGCACCGGGACATGGCGACCGCCCCGGCCCGGAGGAAACGGGCGCGGGACGACTCTGGCCCTGACGAGCTGCAGCGACCACTGGTGAGGAGTCACGCCGTCCCTCAACAACCAACGGCGGTGGAGAACCTCACGCTGCCCAGCTGACAGGGGGGGTGGGGGACCTCGCGCTACCCAGCTCATTCCAGGGTGGGGACCTCAGCTCATTCCTGGGTGGGACCTCAGCTCATCCAGGAGTGGAGGACCTCGTGGTGCCCACCTGGGGTGGGGACCTCGCGCTACCCAGCTCATTCTGGGGTGGGGACCTCAGCATATTCTATAGTGGGGACCTCAGCTGATTCCTGGATGGGGACCTCAGCTCATCCCGGAGCAGAGGGCCTCGTGCTGCCCACCAGGGGTGGGGGACCTCGCGCTGCCCAGGGCAGTCAGGGTTGAGTGGTATCCTGCTCCTTCGAACTTAGTTGAAGGGAGAGGAGCAATGCTGAGGGGCTGCTTGGTGCTGTGGTTAAATTGCCTTGCAACACTGTGTTAGAGATAGCAGGGACGGGAACGTGATCTTGTCGCCAGCTTGCCACTGTATGATAACCAGGTAACACTAATTTTGTGAACAAAGGAGAGGTGCCTCTTGAAGCCTTTGGAGCTTTGGGGTAAAACAGAATGGCTGGTGGCTGCACATCAGCATTTTAATATGCATCCAGTAGGGTGTGCAGGATGTAAATATGAATTCATGATGCAAGAATCCTGGCTCTGGCGGCCCCTGCACGCAATTCGTTGGCACTAATCCGCTGCCCTTTGACGCGGAGCCCAGACGCCTGACCTGCCCAGCCAATTCATCAAGCCTGAGGCGCTTACATAATGGGTTGACAGGTTGGCTGATTTTGAGCAAGGGGAGAGGCAACAGGCACTAAGGCTCAAGCCAGGGTGTATAGCATGAAAAACTTGGCATCCCTGCCACCCAGCCGGCCTGGCAAAATATTGGAACGCTGCTGCACAAGCTATGGAGGGCATGTCAGCATCAGAAAGGGAAAACGCGTATCGAACGTAGGCTCGGCGTGGGTTCGAAACATAGGCTCATAGGTTGAAACGTTATGCACGACAGCATATATGTTTGGGGTCTGTCAAACCCTGGAATGTGTTTTCAGAGACAGTTATTTTCACTTGATCAAGAGCAGATCTTTCCTCGTACAATATTATACCGGTTTTAGTATTCAATCGTGTATTATGTTGCTGTGTCGCATGTACATGCATGCGTACTTTGCTTTTGTCATCAGTGTGCATGCAGCAACAGTGTTATGCATAAATCAATCTACGTGATCGTACACCGTACGAGCTGTGTGTCGGTCAGTTCCGTAATTAACTGTGTTAAACATTTTGCCATCTGGGTGTGACTGGGTGGCGCCGGATTTCATTGTCATGTAAGAATGTCATGTGGCGTCGCTTGAGCAAATACATAGCACAATTTATCGATGCGTGGAGCACACAGTTTGCTCTATCGGTATCTTCTAGTACTAGATCGTGGTAGTGCTTACTATGCCAGAAAAAATGTCAACTTTCCCAGCGCTGTGTCAGCATGGTCTGAGTTGACGTGACATACCGTACACGTCTTGCCACTGGCGTCGTCATGCGGCACGTGGGGTCTGAACGAGGAGTGTCGTGCGGAGGCGGGGGATCAGGCCCCCCAGCTGTCGGGTGTTCTGCGGGCTCGCACAGTCGCCATGTGCTCGGCCCCGGTGAGCTGACGACCTCGGCCGATAAGCGCGCTCGCGACTGACCTCGGGCGCCGGGGCGGGGCCTGCCGCCGACGACAGCGCCCGCCCGCCGCACCGCCGACGCCCCGGAGCGTGGCGCGGCGCCGGATCAGAGGCCGGCGCCGACCTTTGGCCGCGCGCCGACCGACGATCGAGAGGTGGCCAGCGGCTGAACCACCGGCCCGTCCAGTTTATGTAATGGTGCGGGATGCCTGCGTGGTGGAGACTCTGGCCGCCCAGCTGACCGGAGCTGGTGGAGGACGGCCGGCAGTGTCCAAAGGTCGAGCTGGGTACGGCTCCACCCAGAGCTGGAACGCTGGCGGCAGCTGCGGGTGGTTCCGTAGCATCTGAGGTCAACGTTCTCCGCGCGAGCTCCACGAAAGTAGTAAACTGGCCTTCGTTGATAGCCTTTGGTCACGCAATGGGTGAACACTTTTCCTTCAACAAGAACTTGGAGAGTGTCCCCGACCGCTTTGAGTCATTGTTACCAGGATGGTTGCGGACAGTTGGTGAAGGTCTTCAGCAGGCTAGCGTTGTTGCGGACGGCGAGCCATTGGTCGAGAGGTATCCGCAGACAATTTGTTATCGTGTCTGAAGGGATATATTTTACATACCTTTGAATCAGAAATCAGCCATGTTTAATTCGGAACGTTAATGGGGATTAGTCAACGTTGGGCATATGAGTTGCAGACGGTGGAAAATTTTCTGAGAATAAGTAACGTTACGCGTTACATTTATGTACACAGTTACGCTCACGAGGTTTTATTTAAACCCCAAATCTTCGGCCAGTTCACTCTCTAGCCATGTCGAGCTCTGCTGCCTTATACAGTGGCACCGTCGCGTACGCCACTGTCTTCGGCGACGAAAGAGAAAGGTGGCAATAGTCGCCCTTTGTTTTCTTCAGTGTAGCACTGCTGCGTTGGTCGTGCTGGTCTGGCACGAAACATCGGTGCCGGCATCGAGGTGATGCCGGCCCGGACTGACAGACAGGGAAACGCGTCCAGAGAGGGACGGACCACGAAGATCAAGGAACACTGCGCTATCAGGTGGCACAATGTGCATTATCATCGACATGGCTCGGTTCGACTACATCACTTGACGGTAGCAAACATCTGCCTAGTTATGGTAGTCAATATGCCATTAGCGGCCAAACAATGGCCACACTAGCAACCGTTCTGTGGTAGGCACATCACTCATCATTTCCCAACATTAACAGGGCAGCGAAGCTATGGCGACACACACAGTTCTCACGCGGCACACAATGTCACACGCACAACAACGGCACTCGTTGGCGCCACCTATTGGTGACCCACGCGGCGAGGTGTTGACCTCGTGCCGCTACAGCACTTCCCTTCGTATTGACATACAGTGGTCTGCTTCTAGGGGTGGTGGTGCTGTTAGTGGTCGTGGGGGGGTGGGGGTGGGGGTGGGGGTGGGGGTGGGGGTGGGGTTGGGGTTGGGGGGGTGGGGGTGGGGGTGGGGGCGGGGGCGGGGTGGGGTTGGGGTTGGGGGTGGGGGTGGGGAAGGGAACGCGGCATGCAAAGTTGCAGGAAATACGCGAGCTTCCGAAAAATCAGATGCTTTGGTAATGGAGCATGATGGCCTACACATCACATCTAACCAATGGGCCCGCCGTGAAAATATATCAACACCAACGAGAAACTACCCGAAAAAACGAATGAACTAAGGCTGAAGACGAACTTGTCTCTGTATGTAAGAAACTGGGCGAATAGAAAAGCTCGTACGTTACTTTTTGTAGAACGAGTCGAAAATTCCGAGCACGAAGAACTCTTGAAACCCAGCACATCCTGAACAGCCACTTTGTGCTTGGTCGCAGCGAACTGAAGCACTACTGCAGTTGCAGCGCCACGGACGTGTACTATTGCTGTCTTAGAGCACGTGTTACGGCCGGCATCTGGCGAATTATTACAGCATAAAAGGAAACACCTGGCAGAAGCAGGATACGGAATGGATTGGCAGTCACAGCTTTATACTCACTGAACTGACAACAACAAAAAAAAAACAGTTTGTCAGCGGTCCCAATCCGTAAAGTTTCCGCTCTCAAATCGGTTCGCAAGCCTCGGGCGGCCACCGAGCGCGCCGCTGTACACGTCCGTACAGCAGGCGGTGCCGGGGCCTGCTGTCTGTCGGCCGGCTACCGGGCAGGCGCGGCGGGCGGCGGAGCAGGCACACCTGTGGCGCCCGGTCGGCGCGCTATCACGGCGGCGGCCGGGCGGGCGCCGCCGCCGGGCCCGCGCACTCGTGCCGTGGGTGGCTCGCCGGTCGGACGCACGCGCACGCGCACGCGCACGCACGCACTCACGCAAGCGCGCCCAGCGGTGCCGCCGCCATGGCCAACCTCTTCAGGCAGCTGTCGTTCGGCAGCTACGGACCGCAGCCGGTGAGTGACGGGGCACCGGGGGCCGGTCAGTCAGGCGTCTGTGCTGCCGGTCAGTTGGGCGTCTCTGCTGCCGGTCAGTCAGGCGTCTCTGCCGCCGATCAGTCAGGCGTCTGCCGGCGGTCGGTCAGGCGTCTCTGCCGCCGGTCAGTCAGGCGTCTCAGCCGCCGGTCAGACGGCCGGATCAACTGCCGGTCAGTCAGGCGTCTCAGCCGGCGGTCGGTCAGGCGTCTCTGCCGCCGGTCGGTAAGGCGTTTCTGCCGCCGGTCAGTCAGGCGTCTCTGCCGCCGGTCAGTCAGGCGTCTCTGCCGCCGGTCAGCCAGGCGTTTCTGCCGCTGGTCAGTCGGGTGTCTCGGCCGTTGGTCAGTCAGGCGTCTCTGCCGCCGGTGGGTCAGTGGGTCTCGGCCGCCGGTCGGTCAGGGGCCCGCCACACCCAGTACGTCACGCCCTTTTGTTAGCTGACCAGCCGTCCGATGATGGCCGTCAGCCAAGCGTAGCCTTATCGCCAAACAACCACCAGCCTGCCCTGGCGGCAGGCAGGTTCCACTGACAGGCGTGACCACGGTCAGGCAGTCAGCCTGATGTCTCCAGTGGGGAGATGGCAACTCTGCCGTTCCGGTCCTGCGCCGGTCGGCTCTCAGGTCATCCATTCTTGCGACGGTCACTTCTCTGGTCATCCAGGGCTCCTCCGGTCACTTATCGGGTCATCCAGAGCCCCGCCGGTCTTTTATGGAGTCATCCGAGGCCCCGCCGGTCACGTCTTGGATCATCCATTGTCCCGCCGGACACCTTTCAGGTCATCCAGGGCGCCGTCGGACACCTCTGTGGTCATTCAGGGCCCCGTCGGTCACCTCCCAGGTCTTTCACTCTTGCGCCGGTCACTTGTTGGGTCATCCATGGTCCTGCCTCGGTCACTTCTCGCGTCACTCAGGGCCGCCGCTTCAGTTCCTTCTGGGGTCATTCAGTGTTATGCCAGCCTGTTTCTTGGTCGTCCAATCCCATTCCGGATATTTATCGTGTCATGCCGTCCGTCCCCGATCTGCTTTCGGATCGTTCAGTCTCAGGCGGGATAGTTCTCATGTCATTCAGACCTTTGTTGGCTAGTTATTAGACCATTCAGTGCACTTCCAGACCGTTTAGTTTGCTCGCCTGTCTTTTGTTGGTGTACGGTCCGGAGAACTTGTAAGAAGTGGACGATGTCGAAAAAGGTTTTCCAACCAAATTTTGTTTTAGAGGACGGAAGTTCGGCAGCCTTCAAGTAGTTTAAATGATAAAAACACTTACTATACACTGGTGTTAACAATATGCTTGGTGTTTTCGTTGTCGTTTTTGTTGTTTTTTGTGCTGTTGCAACGTTTCGATAACATGAGCCTCATATTGGAGAGTACATGGAATGGAAGCGGTCGAAGCCTCGGCGAGGAGACACAAAGCTCGACCCGTACCAAATCTACGTTCGGACGGTGGGGAGTCCTCGTCTGGCGACCCAACAGTGGTGGGATCGGGACGCGCCACCGGTCGTGCTCCTCGTCTGGCGACCCAACAGCGGTAGGATCGGGACGCGCCACCGATCGTGTTCCTCGTCTGGCGACCCAACAGTGGTGGGATCGGGACGCGCCACCGGTCGTGCTCCTCGTCTGGCGACCCAACAGCGGTGGGATCGGGACGCGCCACCGGCCGTGTTCCGGCGCACGGGCCGCGACTGGTGGCACAGATGCCCGCGACGGTTCCCACAGCGGTCGACAACTGCATATTGCGTTGAGTGGCGGCCGCCGGTCGGTTGCTATGTCGTTACTTTTGATGACTGCGCGTGCCGTCTGGGCTGCGGGTCGTAATGGGTGCTCTGACGTGTCTGTTGGGGTCTGTTGCGGCAGGCGAACGTGTTTTGCGATGACTTTTCGCGGCTGTTTCAACCGCAAGACGTGGCACTTTTCGACAAAGTTTGCGCACAGACGTGCTGTCGGAACCGTTGAGCATATGCTTCGAGTCCTCGGAGCGTTTTTTCATGAATACGGCTGTGGTTATATAATTGCACACAGCATCTACTGGTACGAAGCGGAGGGAGAGGTGGGGTGTGGCTTGTGTAAGCTGTGTTGGCGCGCTCTGTGATACGCTATGCCATGTGCCCTCCGGCTTCTCCTGCTCCTCCGCTTACCAACCGCAGCGCTGTCAGCCGCTCCGGGCCATCACATCCCGCGATCCCGGAGGCCATCACATTCCGCGATCCCGGAGGCCATCACATCCCGCGATCCCGGAGGCCATCACATCCCGCGATCCCGGAGGCCATCACATCCCGCGATCCCGGAGGCCATCACATCCCGCGATCTCGGAGGCCGTCACATCCCGCGATCCCGGAGGCCCTCCTACGCCAGAGTTGCCAGCTGAGCGGCCGCCTGAGCCTGCCTGTGTGTCACGGACACTGGGCAGGCAGAGCGGAGAGACTCCTTCACCTCTCAGCAGGGCTGACCCGACCCCGAGTCAGAGCGAGATCCCCCGCCGACTGACCTCTGACCGGGATCCTGGTATTGAGACCCCCCGCCGACGGGCCTCTGACCGGGATCATGGTATTGAGCCCCCGCCGACGGGCCTCGGACCGGGGCCACGGTATTGAAATCCCCGCCGACGGGCCTCTGACCGGGATCACGGTATTGAGATCCCCCGCTGACTGGCCTCTGACCAGTCAGCGGGGGGTCTCACGCACGCACGCTTATCTGCGCCATCAATTGTCTCGGGCCCACTATGGCATGCCCCTGACATTTATCTCGTCGGCAAGGTAACAAGATGACGCCTTCTGTTCAACCATGTTTGCGCGGTGGCTCTGACACTGATCTCCAGAGCAAGACGCGTGCGGGTCGTACGCCTTTTTCGATGCCACAAGTCCCATCTGGAGCACAATTCGGCGACGGCCAGGGTCTCGGCCCCGGGCTCACTGTCATGCGGAGTGGTGAGCGGCGCAGCGAGACCCCGCTGGTGCCGCGTGCTCCAGAGCGGAGGGTCCATCGGGCGGTGGGCGGCGCGGCGGGACCCCGCTGGTGCCGCGTGCTCTAGAGCGGAGGGTCCATCGGGCGGTGGGCGGCGCGTTGTGACCCCGCTGGTGCCGCGTGCTCCAGAGCGGGGGGTCCATCGGGCGGTGGGCGGCGCGGCGGGACCCCGCTGGTGCCGCGTGCTCCAGAGCAGAGGGTCCATCGAGCGATGGGCGGCGCGTCGTGACCCCGCTGGTACCGCGTGCTCCAGAGCGGAGGGTTCATTGGAGCGGTGGGCGGCGCGGCGGGACCCCGCTGGTGCCGCGTGCTCCGGAGCGGAGGGTCCATCGGGGCGGTGGGCGGGCGGCGGGACCCCGCTGGTGCCGCGTGCTCCAGAGCGGAGGATCCATCGGGGCGGTGGGCGGCGTGGTGAGACTCCGCTGGTGCGGCGTACTCCAGGGGCGGAGAGTCCATCGGAGCATCTGTGCTGACGGGTGCCGTCGGCCGATAAGGCGACTCTGGGTCGGGACTTTGGCCGCGCGCCGGCCGAGCACGCCCACCGGGCGCCGTATCGTCACCCCGACCCGGGCCGCGGTCCGCCCGACCCCGGCCCGTCGCGGGTCGGAGGTCATCGGGCGGGCTCGGCCACCCGGCGCTCCGCGGCTGCCCTGACGGCCGCCGTTTGACGGCCGAGTCGTAAACAGGGCGTCGATGAAAACACGGTCGAACAGATGACCTGCCAGGGGTGAGGGTGCCGTGGCGGCGGGGGCGGTGAGCCGTCCGAGTGCTGCGACGGTAGGCTGCCTGTGATGCGCTCTCAACGCTTGCGGTTAGCGATGTCAAACTGACGCTGTCTAACGCGTTCAGCGCACGAGTTGCGTGCACCGGCGCACCGTGTGCCGTAGTACCACTACGTTAGTGCTTGGCCCTGCCGTCCTGTATCCAGCGGTGCTGTCTCTGCCCCGCGTGGGAAGCGCGTTTGAACGGCCTATGGCGACCCCCTGGAATGGTTTATGGTGTCCGGTTGTGACAGTGTACGGCATCCCACCGCAGCAGTGCTGCAGTTACTGCCCAAGGCAGGCAAGAAAGACTTTGAACTCCTCGTTTTACGGGATTAAGAGTTCGGAAGCCTTATGCTCACGGTTGTCGACCTTCAAGATGTCATTGGTATTAGGTACACAATATTATCAGGCAAACACTCGTGGTATTGACAAAGCTGATTTCATGGTGTCATAGTAGAAATTGGACAACCGTCGGTATAAAATCCCTGCACTCTAATTTGCAATGATTATATGATTATGACAATAATGCACCACCTTCTTCACCCTCGGCAGTTGACCGCGTCTCATAATATCATTGCCCTGCACCACTGCGGACCAGTGTGCTGTGTCCCACTGGAGCCGTGTGCCGTATCTCCCGCAGTCCGTGTGCCGTGTCTCCCGCAGTCCGTGTGGTGTGTCTCGGAGTCCATGTGCCATGTCTCTCTCAGTCCGTGTGCCCTGTCACTCGGAGTCTGTGTGCCCTGTCTCGGAGTCCGTGTGCTGTGTCTCTCGGAGTCCGTGTGCCGTGTCTCTCGCAGTCCGTTCGGCGTGTCTCTCGCAGTCCGTGTGGCGTGTCTCGGAGTCCGTGTGCGGTGTCTCTCGGAGTCCGTGCGCCGGCGCCGCCGTCTCAGCAGCGCTGACTCCGCCGGCAGGGTCTGCGGGCGGAGGCGCCATTCAGCGATGAGCCGGACGCCGACCACGCGCGCGCCATGTGCGACTACTCGCAGAAGATCACACTGGAGCAGGCGCGCGCCGGCACTGGTGAGACGCCGGCCGGCGCGCTCCGCCGTGCCTGCCGCCGTACCTGCCGTACGCAGCCTCCGGCCTTCGGAGCACCCGTCATCCAGTCAATGTGGTGGAACTTTTCGATGATTTTGCTGTTAGCGATGCGTGTGACTGTGCAGCCATCGGCGTCGCGCCACGACCGCTCAGCCGGCCGTCAAGACGGCGCCGCCGCCAAGGATTGGACGCGGTTTAAGCTGCACCATCATGACTCTGATGTTCTGTGCTCCTTGCTTGTTTGCCCTTGTCCTCGATTCGGATGTTCTGTGCGCGAGTCTTCCTTCTTTGCTTCTCTTGCGAAATATTACATGAAATGAAGTTAAGAGCCGCAGCGTAACGTACTCGCTATCGGCACTCCTCAAGTTTTGACTGTGTATGTCTAGTATGTATGTATGACTAGCGTATGTGCGCACTGAACAACAGGATATGAGAAAGCCAAGGCAACCAACGACCTTGTACCCTGGGCTTGATGCTGTGCTCACTCAAGCTTGTCAAATCCGCCAACCCTGCTGCCGCTATGGCGTTGCTTGACCCATAACCATGAATGCCTACCCCCTGCTGCGCACCTGCAGCGTCGCAGCAGTGTCCGATACGGGTACCGTGCCGCGCCCCGTCCCCGCCTCTGCTGGTCTCACCGAACCCGTGCGTCTTGCCGACAGCGCCGCGGCTGGTGCGGGTGTACGCCGACGGCATCTACGACGTGTTTCACATGGGCCACGCTCGCCAGCTGAAACAGGCCAAGAACGTGTTCCCCAACGTGTACCTGCTGGTCGGAGGTGGGTGGCAGCGGCCTGTCCAGCCAGCGCTGGGCCAGGCGGGGCGCGGCGCGCCGTGCGGCTGGTCGCCGGAGCCCGTCCGGTCCGATCATGGGCACCACCAGTGCCGTCAAAGACGGACGCAGTCGGCGCCGTATCCCCGCTCCGCGCTGTCCGGCGATGGCTGACTAATGTTTTGCCATTCGTGTATTGCTGTACGTGTGACGTGCAGCTGTATCGGCATCTCTGTAGAGCGAATATCTCACCAGAACTTTTGAACACGACTTTTACTCAGGCGCTTCAACGTCAAGCAATAACCAACGTGTATCCCCGCCCGCCTCAGTCAGCCCGCCGTTCCGCAGTGCCCTGTGTGTCCCACTGACCCGTGTGTGATCCGGGGTTGTGTGACCGCCGTCGGCAGTGTGCAGCGACAAGCTGACGCACGCGCGCAAGGGCAAGACGGTGATGACGGACACAGAGCGGTACGAGTCGGTCCGCCACTGCCGCTACGTGGATGAGCTGGTGCGCGACGCCCCCTGGGAGGTGGACGACGCCTTCCTGGCCAAGCACAAGGTCGGTGGGTGCGCCGGCGGTCCGAGGTCCGGGGTCCGCGGCTCGCGGCGGGGGAGGGGGCGCTGGGGACGAGAGCAGACTGCGGAGGTTTTTGTGGCGGAGCGTCAGTGTGGGGTTCGGGTCCGCGGCTCGGCGGCGAGGGTACTCGGGACGGGAGCTGGGTTGAGGGGATGGTCTCTGGTCGGTGGGTGGGACGGCGGTCCAGGGTCCTTGGCTTGGCGTTGGGGGGGGGGGAGGGGGTGCTGGGGACGAGAGCAAACTGTGGGGGTCTCCGTGTTGGAGCGGTGGTCCGGTGTTCGGGTCCGAGGTTTGTCGGGAGTGCCGGGGACGGGAGCCGGGCTGCGGGGCGGTCTCTGATCGGCGGGGACCCACCTGTGTAGACGGCAGGGGCGGGCCCAGTCCGGCCAGAGCCGTCGGTCGGCTCCGAGCTGCCTTGCTTCGCTCGCGGTGAAGGGCGCGCGCCAGCCGGGGCTCTGCTAGAGCGGGGTGTGCTCGTGCGTGCAGGGGAGCACCGCCGCGGGACTGTGAGACAGGCCAAGGCCGGGGCTCTCGGCTCCGCATAGTGCGGGTGACGCTGACGAAGCCTGCCTCACTCATCCAGTGTCGTCACGCGGACGTTTCGCTTGTTGAGTGTCTCCACGGCTCTGTGGCTCAGGCTGGGGAGTCACAACACTGCAGCTGTGTTTGGCTGAGTCGCACTTAACCAAGAACGCGAAGTCCATCTCGACCATCTGACTGAGCTGGGCTGTTTACATGTCACGCACGCAATGTCGGCGGCTGCACCCAGCGCCTGCACCATCTCTTCTCTGCGTTCCCAGATTGACTTTATCGCCCACGACGACTACCCGTACACCACCGGCTCCGGAGTCGACGTGTACGCCCGGCTCAAAGAAAGAGGTGACGTCCGCACGTCGCAATGGATGCTTCCCATCAAATGTTTGCCAGCCTTGTCGCCCGCGGACAGTCAGGCGTGGTGGTGGCCGAATTGTCCGCTGTGCAGGCGTTCTGCACACCCCCATCCCGAATAATGTGCGTGTGTGTGCGTGTGTGTGTTTGTGGACTCCGGAGCCGACGGATGTATGCCACGTGCAATCGCAGTTCGCTATCGTGCGGGAAAACTGGTGCGACCTTGCGGCGGGATCATAGGTCAATTGCGGTGGACTTGTTGATTAAGTGGGTGTTATCATGGGTGCACAGCTCGTGATCGGTGCTGAAACTGATGCACCCGCCGAGCAGTCGCAGGTCACAAAGGTCACCCTGGTGGCATTGTGAGCTGACATCTTGCACACGCGCCTGCTCCGGGCCGGTCCATCGACTGTTGGTGTCGGCCTAATGACGGCGACGGTGGCGCCACCTGTACAGACTGTCGGTGGCCCCTTGCGAGCGTACGGTCAGCTTCCGGTTAGCCTGCAGCACTGCTGTGGACATGAGCATCAACATAGCTCACGCTGATTTCAAAAAAGGTCTGTTGGGATCCCAAAACTCAGCCGGCAGCGGGTCTCGAACCCACAACCTATGCATCACGAGCTGGGCGCGCCGCCAGGCATGTTCGTGGCCACGCAGCGGACGGACGGCGTCTCCACCTCCGACATCGTCTCCCGCATCGTCAAGGACTACGACGTGTACGTGCGGCGGAACCTGGCGCGAGGATACTCGGCCAAGGATCTCAACGTCTCCTTCATTAGCGTGAGTGGTGGTCCGGCAGGCGAGTGGCGCCCAGCCCTCGCCAGGGGCGTGCCGGGGCTGCGCATGCGACAGAGCGCACCTGATGGCGTTTAGTTAGTCGGCCCTCGCCGAGCTCCCGGCGCACGGGACCTCGGAAAATACGTCAGATGTCGGTCAGCAGCAAACGGCAAATGGAGAGGGCCGAGTCAAACGTAATTGCCATGAAGGACAGACCAGCAGAGGAACTGGTGCGTTTAAGTGCGTGTGAAACCCAGCACAGTCTGGCGTCGTTGTTCGCAGTGTGCGCCTGGTCCGACGGGCTGCCTGTCAGCGCACGTGCCGCTATGTTGGGGCGCAACGGGGACAGTCCGCTGCCTACCACGCGATGCGGCGTGTGCGTCTCACGTGCGGTGTGCGGTCCGGCAGGAGAAGAAGTTCCGGATCCAGAACAAGATGGACGAGCTGAAGGACCGCGGGAAGAAGGCCATCGCCGACATCTCGGACAAGCGGGCCGAGTTCATCCAGAAGTGGGAGGACCGCAGCCGGGAGTTCATCGACACCTTCCTCATGATGTTCGGCAGGGACGGCAGGATCGTGAGTGGGATATGTCGAGGACACCCGCTGGCGCGTCACCGGCGGAGGGAGATTAAATATATGATGGGATTTTGTGCAGAGCAACTGCCTAGTCCAGGAAGTTGTTCTGTGCAAGTGGAGAGAGGTGACGAGTGCTGCGGGAAAGTCTGTTGAGAATTGGGAGCGGTAACATGCTTCCATGCGGGCCAAACCAAACCAGACCATTCCCTGCCTTCTGCGTGAACATTTTGCACAGCGGAAGGGGACACCACTTACAATCTAAAATAGACTGCTAGGATCACACTGCTGGAACATCTTGAGTATGGCAACCCGTGTTCAGAGCGCCCTGCGCTGTACCACGTATGTACTGCGTTCGCCAAGTTGGCCGTTCTCTTCAGCGATCTCGGCACGTTTGTGAGTGTGTGGGCGCGTCACGCGTGGCCTGCGAGGCTGCTGAGTATCCTTCTCACGCGCTGCCTGGCCGCCCCGCAGAACAAGATGCTGACCGACTCGGCCGGCATGGTGAAGACGGCGCTGTCGCCACCCTCGTCGCCTACGCCGTCCTCCTCCAGCGAGGTGGACCCGCTGGGCGACGGCCTGCACAGGTGAGGGCGGCGCGCGCCGACCAGCGCTCGGGCTCACGCGGCGCGCCCGGCGCCGAGCCCACTAGCGGGCGGGCGGAACGGGGCGGCGGCGGGAGGGTGGGACCGCCGCCGCCGCCCACGGCCGGGGCGGGCGCTGGAGTCGGCGCTGCTGTTGACCGCGGGCGGGTGGCAGCAGCGGCGCTCTCCTGACGGCTGGAGACGGCTCGGCCGCGGACCGGCTGACCCAGCGGAGGATGGCAGCCGGGGCGGAGTCCGGCTGCCATCCTCCCCTTGTCTCGGACGGTGCGTCATCGGCTCTCCGTCCTGTGGTGACCTAAACCGGCGTGGCTCGGCTCCCGGGCCGTGACGAACGTGCGCGCCCGGTTGTTCCGGTGCCACCCTGGTGCGGGGTGTTCGTGTTCCACGCCCCTGCTGACCGTCACTGATCCGTCGCCCCGCCTGTTGACCTGACCTGGCCCGCCCTCCGCCGTGTGTCGGCAGTCCTCCGGCCAAGGTGCGCCGGCTCCGCTCGTCGGACATGAACCATCGGTCTGCCACGGCCATCTCCGGCGAGTACTCGGACGACGACGAGGAGGAGGACGCCGATCTGGCCGGCGACCATCACTAAAGCAGCCGCAGCCTGCCACTATAGTGGCCGTCGGCCACCACTAGAGCGGCTGCCGACCATCACTAGAGCGGCCGACGGACACAGCTCACGGACGGGACCGGCGGACTCCAGCCGACGGAGTCGGATTCGGGCGGGTCGGAGCGGACGAGAGCAGGCAGCAGACATGGATGGGCATTTGCCGCCGTACGGTGGGGACGTGGCTCTTCCGCTGTCTGCGGACGTGACGACGGCGTCGGTGGGCCCCGGCGCCTGGCCAGACGCGGCACGAGCCCGGGAGCGGAGGCCCTCCCCGGCGAGGCGCACGTCGACACGTGACTCCTCGCGGAGAGCGGGCGCCTCGGGGCGAGCGGACCGAGGTCGGCCCGGCGTCGCGCGCGCAGAGTGACGTCACGCCGCAGCGCCGCGGGGCACAGCAGCCGCGCGGCAGGAACGCGGCGACGGGGACTCCGCGGCGCAATAACTGGAGCAGAGCGGGGGGGGGGGGGGGGGCACAGATGGCTTGGACTCGGCGGAGGTTGACCCTGGGTCGGCGGGCCGTGCGGCCGCGGCGGCCCGCCCGTGGGGCTCGAGGTCGGCATGGTCGCTGCGATGTACAACGAACCGAGCGCCGGTGTGGCGTGCGCTCCACCTCGACGGGAAGGGCGCTGATGGAGGATGTGGCGTTGCCATTAATCTTTTATGGTTTGATCGAACCGTGTGGTCGCGATTATGCATGTAAACCTCGCAGAGACGGTTTTTTAGCTTTGCTGGTGTGGTGACGCCATGCAACGGCGAACTCTGGTGCTCGTAGGTTTTGTGGGTTGTGTGGAGTTATTCTCGCATTCGTCAACGCTTCATAACCGTCTGATACGACACCGCAAACCTTGAGGGCCTTCCGACATCTGAATGTTGAATTTGCTCAAATAAGTCCATATTATGCAAGTTTTAGCCCGTTGACTTTGTGATGGAGCCGTCGGATTGTTGGATTGCGTTACGTCGGACCCGCTTAGTGGAGTTGGTGGAAAAGTAAGACAGATGAATCAAGTATTAACCGTAGCATAGCAGATGGCCACCAAAGACAGCCCCACCGAGCCTTCGGGACCTTAAGCGTAGCGTGCGTTAGAGGTCGCCCCGTGCTGGGTTCGTTAGCTTGTAGCGTCCGGTTACCCTTGCTGTTCCCATCGCACACTTAACTTCCCTGTAGCCGCCTCGATCGTTTATTTATTTACGTTACATCCTGCCGCCGGATGCATATATGCAATACACCGTATGCGATGGCTGATGTGGCGGCGCGGCCGCCTCAGGGACAGGCCGGGTGACCAGTCGCGCCAGGTGCGCGGACTCGACCAGCGGGCGGGGTGGCGCCCTCAGCAGCTCAGCTCAGCTCAGCCCGGCTCAGCGGCCCAGCCCCGCCGGCCACGCGCGGGGCCAGGCAGAGGACAGCGGCCTCGCGCGACGCAGCTCACATCTAGTACCGCCCTTCCTGGCAGTCTCACGCTGTCCAGTGACGGGCAGCTTTCGGTTGCTCTAAATCGCCAGTCTATTCATGAAAACGGTGTGGACATTAGCAGTGCAGGTGCATACGGCTGAGAGACAATACTGGTGCGAAGACCTCGCTTGAAAGCTGACATCACCAGCTACTCGAAACGCCGCTGGTCGTGAAGACCACGGAACACTTTGGCTAGGGTAACCTGAAACACTAGGGCTAGTGGATGCACCCCCAGTCGCGTGGTACTACGGCAGATCCGTCGGCATTTGTTCCGCGACCCCAAACATAGCAATCACCGACCACCGGTCTCTGGGCGCCAACTGATCCGACCAGAACACGTCAACAGACACTCGCAGATGGACACAAACGCGGTCGGTGGGCGCAGTCAATAAGTAATCGAAGGAAGCACTAGACTAGGGCACGTCTAACCCTCACAAGCCAATACACGCGGACACACCCCAAGCATAGTCACGTGGCTGTGCAGGTGGAGAGGGGATTGCAGCTGCCGAAACAGACACCCACCATGCGAACCATATGTATAAAACTGTAGTACCGCGCATAAATATAAAGTAATCCGCAGCACTACCCGGCGTACCATAAATAATTTAACAACTCTAGGGTCTAACAGGTGGAGATCGCCAAGCACATAAGTTTGCATACGCACCGAAGTTATACCGTCGCAGATTTAAAATTCGCCTGCAACTTAAATTCACAGAACGAACAGGCCGCGAGCGGCAGGCCGACAAAGCGCCACAATACGGTGACGCGGATATCACAACTGACCCTTGGGCTGGCCACCGCGCGGCCGCTGACGAGAGAGGCCGCCTGGCGGCCCGCCCTGGTCTGACCCCGAGGTCAGGGCGGCCGGAGCCTCGGCCGGCCGAGATCGCCGGTCCTGACCTGACTCGCGCCCGGCCGCTGGCGTCGATGTACGCGGAGAGGTGACGACTCGCCGGTGGCTGACGGCATCCTACGGGACACCCGACGCCCGCCACGGCACGGTACGGCGAGCTAGCGTAATTCGATCCATTTGTTCAGCTGTGACATACGCCTTGTTCATTGATTCTGCCACCAGATCACGAGCGGTCGTTGTATTTCCCTGTCACGTCAAATGACCTATTGGTCGGGCAGCTGACCCCGTCTGTCTGCCATTTACCTATCGCCGCCCGGACGAGGCGGGCTTCTCTGGGCTACTGCGGCGGGCCGGGGCCGGGGCCGGGGCCGGGGCCGGCCAGCTGGCGCTCGGCGCCGGCCCGTCAGCTGACGCGCACGCCCAGCAGCATGGGCTCGTGCTCGGAGAGGAGACGCACGCGCGGCCGCGCCAGCCGCAGCCGGCGCAGGCGCAGCACGTACAGCGCCAGCACGCCCAGCACGACCAGCACGCAGACCAGCAGCAGGTACTGGGAGCCCCAGATGCTGTACGGACCGGCCGGGAAATGCGAGAACGTGGCCGCCTCCACCGACCTGGCGACAGAGGGAGCGGTCAGAGGCTGCGGTCGACACGGCAGTACAGCAAAACGTGGCCGCCTCCACCGACCTGGCGACAGAGGGAGCGGTCAGAGGCTGCGGTCGACGCGGCAGTACAGTAGAACGGCGAGCGGCCGCAGACACCAAGCCATCGGCATGATCATCACACTTGAGCGGTCATCCGCGTTCTTCAGCGTTTTCCATTAGAAAGTAACGGCGCTGCCACACCTGAATACATTGCTGGGCTGCACAGCTTGAGTGCGATGTTCAAGGACAACGGCCACTCCTCCGCTACCAGCCCGACGCGGAGTCCCACTCCACACCAGCTCCACGGGGCCCCCACCGACACCTCCCCAGGCCAGTCGACAGCAGCACACTCCACCTCAGCCGGCCGCGGCCGGGCGGCCGGCGGCGGCACACCCACCGCACGGGCAGGAAGCGCAGCTTGTACAGCAGCGCGCCCAGCGTCCAGGTGGAGACGCGTCCGTTTACGACGCTCGGCGTGGAGGTCAGGCCCTGGTACGAGTACGGCAGGCCCAGGCCCTCGTGCAGCACGGCCGTGAGGTAGACGGACTTGAAGCACTGTCGCGCCAGCCGGTCGTCGTCGGAGCGGCCGTACAGTCCCCTCGCCGCGGCGCCGCACCAGCGTCCGCCAGGCGGTGGCGCAGTAGTCCTGGCCGGAGCGACGCCGGGGTCAGCCGACGACGGCCACACACAGACACGGACGGGAGCACACAGAGCAGTGACAGCGGCGGACAGACAGACACGGACGGGCACAGAGCAGAGGGCAAACAGACAGGCAGACCGGACGGAGCACACGAGGCAGTGACAGCGGCATACGACGGACACGGACGGGAGCACACAGAGGCAGTGACAGCGGCACACAACAGACACGACCGGGATCACAGACGCAGTGACAGCGACGACAGACAAGAACGACGGGAGCACAGAACAGGACGCGGCACCGGACAGACACAGACCGGGCGGGAGCACAGAGCAGTGACAGCGGCACAGACAGACACGGACGGAGCACACAGAGCATGACAGCGGGCACACAGACGGCAGACACGGACGGAGCACAAACGAGGCAGTGACAGCGGCATACAGACAGACACCGGACGAGAGCACACAGAGGCAAGTGACAGCGGCACACAGACAGACATATAACACGGACGGGAATACACAACGCAGTGGGACAGCGGTATACAGACAGACACAGACACGACGGGAGCACACAGAGGCAGTGACAGCGGCATACAGACAGACACTGACGAAAGCACACAGAGGCAGGTGACAGCGGCACACAGACAGACACAGACACGGACGGGAATACACAGACGCAGACGGGAGCGACAGACGCAGGCCAGACAGACAGACAGACGCAAGGCGCACAGACAGACGCGGACGGGAGCACAGAGAGGCAGTGACAGCGCACACAGACAGACACAGACACGGACGGGAGCACAGAGAGGCAGTGACAGCGGCACACGGACAGACACAGACACGGGGCGGGAGCACAGAGAAGCAGTGACAGCGGCACACAGACAGACACGGACGGCAGCACACAGATGCAATGACAGCGGCACACAGACAGAGACAGGCACGGACGAGAACACAGAGGCAGTGACAGCGGCACACAGACACGGATGGGAGCAGACAGAGGCAGTGACAGCGGCACACAGACACGGACGGGAACACACAGAGGCAGTGACAGCGGCACACAGACACGGACGGGAGCACACAGGGGCAGTGACAGCGGCGCACAGGCAGGCACGGACGGGAGCACACAAAGGCAGTGACAGCGGCACACAGACAGATACAGACACGGACGGGAGCGCACAGAGGCAGTGCCAGCGGTTCACAGACAGACAGAACGGACGGGAACACACAGAGGAAGAGACAGCAGCACACACAGACAAAAACGGGCACAGACGGGAACACACAGAGACAGTGACAGCGGCACACACCGGAAAGGGGCAGACGGGCGGGGACAGCAGCACGAGTCGGACGGACAGGGACGTAGTCGGAGGTGAATGGACGGGGTCAGGTGGGAAGGGAGGGGGGGGGGGGGTGGACGGATGGGATCGGACAGCCAGGTTATTGAGGCCGGGAACGGACGGGCGTGGTCAGCTGGGCCGACACAGGAGCGGATGGGTACGGGCAGGGCCAGTCACAGTACGGGGCCCACAGCATGGAAACACTTAACTGACAACTCTACGTGACAACTCTAGCATTCCTCATCTAGACATCAAATAGAACAAAATGTGGTACCATACTACAAAAGCCCCAGGGCAGAGCGCACGACAAAGCTTCGTTCCCTACCGAACCCTGCACAGAGCTGCGAGCTGAAGTCCCGTATCCGAAGTGTGCCAAGCGAGCTGTCCGTCAAAACACCGAAACAACACGAACACACACGGCCAGAACTGGATGGCGACAGCCGTCAGCAATTGTGAGCGAAGTCGGCCGGGCTCAAATAGGGCCGATGCCGACCGGAACAGCTGGGCCCCGCGCGGGGGCAGCGCCCACCGGGACAGCCGGGCTCCGCGCGAGGGCAGCGCCCACCGGGACAGCTGGGCCCCGCGCGGGGGCAGCGCCCACCGGGACAGCTGGGCCCCGCGCGGGGGCAGCGCCCACCGGGGCAGCCGGGCCCCGCGCGGGGGCAGCGCCCACCAGGACAGCTGGGCCCTGCGCGGCGTAGCGCCGACCGGCCTGAAGCAGCGCGAGTTGCGACGCGGCGCTCGCGCTCACCTTGGCCGTCTGGCTGAAGCGCTTGTAGGAGTAATTGCCGCCGCTGCGCAGTGTGTCCTCCATGGAGTACCAGAACTCGGAGAAGCCATACAGCTCGAGCTCGCTCAGGTTGACGGGCGGTGCCACCAGCGTGCGCGTGCAGCCGTCCGGGCCTTCCGGACACAGGCGCGTCTTGCGCTCCTCCACGATCTGCGGCGACGTCGGCGTCGTTAGAGGGGCGGACGGGCGGACGGCGGGGAACGCGCAGTTCCGACAGGCGGCGGCCCAGCGGTCTATCTCTGACGGCCTCCGGGGACGCGTCCGCGGGCTCAGCCGGGACGCCCGGACATCACAGTCGCCGCCGCTGTCTCGCCAGACGTCACCACCGCCGGCAGCCCGCCGGTGGGAGAGGATGGGAGCAGCGGCGCGTACTCCCAGCCGCGCGGGAGGGCGGAGCGCCACAGCCGGCGGCCGGAGCGACGCACCTGCTTGCGCACGAGCTCCTCGCACTGGTGCCAGTCGCCGGTGCCGACCACGGGCACCGAGCAGTTGGCCGGCGGCGGCTGCTGCTCGGAGCAGTAGGTAGTGTTCTTCAGCAGCGCCCGGTCCGAAAACTCGCGCACCAGGCACGGGTCGTACAGGCGGCGGGTGCCGTTCGTGTACCTGAGGCGGACAGGGCGCAGACCGGTCACACGAGCCCGGCGGGCGCCACCGCCCGACCACCGCAGGCAACCGGCCACTGGCTGCGTGCCATTCACAACCTAACCTCAGCGTCTACCAGCTGGTGAAATATGGGAGAGGGAATGCATGCCAGCCTCAGTGAAAGACAGAATTAACTGACTCGTCTGACGACTGCAGCGACAGACCGAACGCGGCAGCGACGGTCTAGTACACCCCATGTTGGGAAGAAACACCCCGTGCAAACTACAAACAAAAATCTTCAACATGAGGCTAACCCATCGCTCTCAAGGACGGAGGACTTCCATTCACTGCAGTACGCGACCTTCGGCGTCGCAACACCGCTCAAACGTTTCTATGTCCTTTCCAGGCTCGCATCCCGAACACAGCCCTCTCAGCACGGCGCGAGGTCTGATCAGGGGCGTGCGCCCCCCCCCCCCCCCCCCCCCAGCGCCCCCAGCGGTCGGCTCACCTGGCACGGATGGCCTCACTGTGGCGGCGGAACGCCTCGTTGGCGCCGTAGCCGAGGAAGGTGGTGACGTACACGCGGTACGTGTGCTCGCGGTCGTGGTCGGCGCAGCCCAGGTTGATCACCGCCATGGAGGAGCGGTGGCCCCCCTGCGGAGAGAGCCAGGCATCACTCATCACTCGAGGCCACTCCACTCAGGCAGGCTGTCCGGCGGCCAAACCCCAGTCCCAGCCGGCGCCACCCAGAGCTCGCTGTTCGGCGGCCGTCCCTCCCGCCCTCCCTTGCCGGCGGTCTGGCTTGGAGTCGGCAAAGACTACCCAGCTGACGCGGTGGACATGGCTACCGGCATGTTCTCTGCTGCCCGGTTGCGCTCGATGCCCTCTTTGCTATGTTCTACGAAGTGGCATGTGATACCACGCTTTAGCCGAGAATCAAGTCCACAGATCCCACAGAAGATCTACTTCACACCGCAATGACCTCCAGGCACGGCGGTAGCATCGCCACCAATGCCCCGGCTACCCGGGTGGATTCCACAGTCACACTGCACTGCGTCACTCACCAGAGCCTTCTGCTGCGCTTTGGTGGTCACTTCGAAGCCAATCTGCATAGAGGCTCCGCCCATGTCCAGCGCGCCGACCGTCTTCAGCCGCTTGATTGGCTTCTCGTCCACGGTCTCCACCTCCACCAGCGGCCCGTTGTGGGCATGACGAAACCTGGCCGTCGGGGGGCAGCGACATCAGACACCACGCACGTCCGACACACGGACACAGGTGCGTCAAACACGTCGCGAGATGGATCTCCTCATCTGACAATTTACACGGAATAGCAGCGTTTCAAACCCTGCCAAGCATTGCGTAGGAAGCGGCAATATACCAGCGTAGGGCAATGATAGCGTAGTTGTTAAGCTACCTGTCTGGGAAACCAGAGGCACGGGGTTCGATTCCCCGTGGTGCTCGCCCTTCCTGCCAGGGTGAGAGGCAGGCGACACCATGTTGCCACAGCAGCGAGTGCGTTATTAGGCCCCAATCACAACTTGCCTCAGCGCCACGCCACTACACAAGGTCGAGAAATCAAATCGGCGGAGCCCACTCTCAGATCCAACACACGACCCCGATCCGCCTCGTCCGCGTCGGCTGTCAGTGCCGGTGACACCGGCAGCTGTGTGCTCACCTGTCCAAGGCGAAGTTGATGGCGATCCACTGATAAATGCCCTCCTCACGGCCCGTGATCACCTGGATGTTTTGCTCGGCCAGCAGGAAGTCGTACCGCTGCAGAATGTCCTGTCGCAGGCTGGAGATAATGGCCGCCTGCGTCCTGTGACCAGGGCCGGACGCGGTCAGGCGGCGGGAGTCGCGCTCCGCCGCAGACTGACCGACAGGTCAGGTACAGACACTGCGGTATGTCTGGCGGCGGGAGTCGCGCTCCGCCGCAGACTGACCGACAGGTCAGGTACAGACACTGCGGTATGTCTGGCGGCGGGAGTCGCGCTCCGCCGCAGACTGACCGACAGGTCAGGTACAGACACTGCGGTATGTCTGGCGGCGGGAGTCGCGCTCCGCCGTAGACTGACCGTTGGTTCAGATACAGACACTGTGGTATGTCAGGCGGCGGGAGTCGCGCTCCGCCGCAGACTGACCGTCAGGTCGGATACAGACACTGCGGTATGTCTGGCGGCGGCAGTCGTGCTCCGCCATAGACTGACCGTCAGTTCAGATACAGACACTGCGGTATGTCTGGCGGCGGGAGTCGTGCTCCGCCGCAGACTGACCGTCAGGTCGGATACAGACGCTGCGGTATGTCTGGCGGCGGGAGTCGTGCTCCGCCGCAGACTGACCGTCAGGTCGGATACAGACACCGTGGTATGTCTGGCGGCGGGAGTCGTGCTCCGCCGCAGACTGACCGTCAGGTCAGATACAGACACTGTGGTATGTCTGGCGGCGGGAGTCGTGCTCCGCCGCAGACTGACCGCCAGGTCGGATACAGACACCGTGGTATGTCTGGCGGCGGGAGTCGTGCTCCGCCGCAGACTGACCGTCAGGTCAGATACAGACACTGTGGTATGTCTGGCGGCGGGAGTCGTGCTCCGCCGCAGACTGACCGTCAGGTCAGACACAGACACCGTGGTATGTCTGGCGACGGGAGTCACACTCCACCGCAGGTTGGCCGTCAGGTTAGACACAGACACTGCGGTATGTCTGGCCGGTCCAAACGCGGAACCCAGTGCGACACGCCACAACACTTATCAATATCCCCGTCACGTCAGCACGCGGCTGTAATGCAACGGGCCAAATGATATACTTCACCCAGGAGTGTAGCTGCTACCAACCAAGCCGTCCAGCATATTCAGGAAACAGTCAGGACAGCTCAGAAACAACACTCGAGATTCAGGCAGGCGCCCAGGCAATGTTACAGCCCTCCAGCTGCTGCTGTGTTAAGTAAGCGGGGCGTCACCACGTACTCCTTGGAAAGCAGTCGCATGCCGGCGGTGGCCATGATGTACAGCGACGTCTCCCTGTGCTTCTCCTTGGGTATGTGAGCGGCGGCGTACTCCAGCAGCGGCCTCAGGTACGCACCGGCCCGGTCTGGGGTCGCCCTCATGGAGGAGAGACCTGCCCAGCTACCAGCGTCAGTCTCCGGACACCAAGCCCCGCTCAAGAGCATGCCACACAGACGGCAGGGCTACCCGACCCACTGGCGACATGCCAGAGATGAAGCTGCTATCACTGTACCGGGTATCCTTCTGTTCGAGCTGTATTCCCCTAATGCGACTTAACCAGCTCATTGGAAACAACACAATCACCTCGCATGTGTTTCCTTAAAAACCATTGCAATTCTCATCGTCTGTTGCGCCCGCAGCAGATGCACAGCGAAGTCAAACTCTCCTCCAGTGGAAGCGTTCCGGTCAGCCGCGGACGGCATCGGGCCGGGGCGGCGCCAGCGCCCGGCCGCCGCTGGGGGCGCGCTCACCTGGCGTGATCATCTCGACGCGGGGCTGGCCGGCCAGGTCCCGCAGCGGCTGGATGTTGAGCAGGTCGCGCCGGTTGCCCGTGTGCGGCGGCCAGACATAGATATGCGCCCGGCTGCCGGAGCTGCCGGCGTCCACCACCACCGCGTAGCCCAGCCCCTCGGCGCGCGGCTCGACGCCATCGCCGCCGCTCCACAGGTCTGCCGGCCGGCCGCGGGGACGCAGCAGGTCAGAGCAGGATCCAGCCGCGGGGGCGCAGGTCAGAGCAGGGTCCAGCCGCGGGGGCGCAGGTCGGAGCAGGGGCCGGGGGCTCAGGTCAGGGGAGCGCGGGCGTGGAGTGACAGCGGATGGACCGGGTGACGGACTGGGACGGACAACGAACGGACTGGCCGGGAGCTGGGCAGAACAGGCTAGCGAGTGTGACAGCCTCAGACAGAGCAGAAAGCCTCAGTGCTCAAGGGTCAGTACATTCGGCACATTCAGTGGGAGCATCATCAACGTGGCGCAGCATATCCGCCAAGGAGCGCGACAATGCAGTCCAGACCAAGGGCGAATCCCGGATTTCGTCAAAGGAGAGCGACTACGCTTCATTGTGGTCCGTTACCACCCTCACAACGAAGATTTCGGCAACTTTTTGAATTATCATTTCTTAATAGGTAAATATCTTGCACCGGAACGGCGAGCCGCATTTAGCCAACAGAGTTAAATTTTCCATTAATTTTTACGTTGATCTTGAAGATTTGTGGCCGTTTGCGGTGCTTCTGAAGTTTGGTGCGTTTTGAAAATGGTTATGCGACCCCAAAATGAGGATTTTGGTGCCCCTCGGCTCCAAGCAGGGCCATGAGGCCATAGGACCATGGACCCATGCCCCCTCCCCTCTCCCCGCTCTGGATCCGCCACTGGTCCGGAAATGCGCGGCAAACTGCAAATATCATAAGCAGATTGCATCTTTTTTTACTTGCGCACGGGGTATTGTTCCGTGTCCAGACGCTGATATATTATGCTCCCACCACAGCGAGTACAACCGAGAGCTGCTATCCAGACAGAAGACCGGAGGCCCCGGGCTCGAGCGTCGCGCCAAACCTTGGTAGGTGCCGACGGCGGCCAGCGCCTGCGTGAGCACCACCAGCGAGCAGAGCGCCAGCGTCACCACGCTGACGGCCAGCGTCCAGCCGGCGGCCCAGCGCTGGCACAGCTGCTGCGCCCACTGCGCCAGCGCTCCGCTCAGGCAGGGCAGGCCGATCCTGCGGCAGAGCGGCGAGTCACGCGGCGGACCGGCCCCGGCCGCCACAGCCGGCCAGCACCCTGGACAAAGGCCCATGGTGCACAGGTGCTGCTGCATGGCTCCTCACTGTGCACCTGTGCAGGCGCCCCAGAAAACGACTCCATGGTGCATAGGTGCTGCTGCATGGCTCCTCACTGTGCACCTGTGCAGGCACCCCAGAAAACGAATCCATGGTGCACAGGTGCTGCTGCACGGCCACATGCTGCACACCTGTGTAGGTCACGCGGAGCTGCGAGCTTCATATCAATTGGGTGAATGTGGTATATGCTTTCAAATCTGAATATTTTGATATTCAAATACTTCATCTGGTAATCAAACAACCTAAGATCACTTATCACCCACAAGGCAAACATCAAATAACACTCATGCAACCCAGTTATTTTGCTCTTTGTATATATTCTGATCCAGCATAATAACACTGAGCAATGCATGTGCTGGCTGTGCTTTGGTCATCATGTACTTGTTAGTTTTGGCAGTGGGTAATATGCTGTTAACTCTCTTTTTCAAGCTGTTGATTTAGCATGCAGAGAATGAAAAATTACCTTGGCATCATGTTGGCTTCACACAAACATCATTTCATTATTGCAGTTTTTGAATTCATCAGCATGTTAAAATCCTGTAAAAAATAGCCCAACATTTCAAACTTGTATAAAAGTACCAAACAACAACCAGGCTCTCATGTAATGTAGCCGTGAAGCATGATGCTAAGCACGCTGTAAACAGCACTAACAGGGATTGATCATGTTTAAATTCAATCTCTCACTTAATCTGAGCTTAAGCTTTTCATCTTAAGTAATGCAGGTGCCTACTTGCCCAGGTATTTAGGCCTATCTGGAGAACCCTAAAACAAAATCCAAAACAGTGAGCACAAAATTCGAAATGTGCTATGCAAGCATTGCGAAGAGTCTATCCCAAAATTATGCTACACACTTGAAACCATTTTCAACCCTTACCCTCCCTCCCATTAAGACTGCAACAATATCTGTCATGCCAAAATGTCTGACATAGCAGCAACATTGCAGGAAAAAATTCCAGACATGCAGACTATAATTCCAGGCACCTACAGCACCATGAGCAGATCACATCAATTTCAACATGTAGCAAGCCGAGTGTTTCTACAAAATATTGTGTGGTGAAGGTAATTTTAGGCTGTGATGCTCCAAACATATTTACACACAATTTTTTGTTGAAAATTCATCACAAATTAGCTTGAATTAAGTTTGGAATAGACCAGTACAATGTTCAGCACACTTAAACATGCAGGTATTCAGTGAAGTGGATGGCTCTATTGCAGATTGGCCCCCTATGGTCAAGTGCTAGTTAAACTGGGCACAATCACCCTCCCTGCGGGTTGCACTGTACAATGCAACAATTCTAAAAAAGGTGATAATTGTCCAGCCAGCAATTGAACAAATGCTGCAAAGCATGTCATCCACTTTTGTCAAACAAACCACAGGTTCAGCTGCATAGAGCATAACTTTTCAAAAGGTAGCATCTGTCCATCTCCTGATGGGACTAGAGCTGTTAAGGAGATGGGCATGTTGAATGCCATGAGAGGAAGTCAACAGTACCTGGCTTGAAAGTTTTAAAACATGTTGCAAAGGACTAAAGCTTGGCCAATGCTGTGTCACATGGTCCCCCCTCCCACCTTGTTATCCTCAGATTGCATTCTATGCACAATATAATGCAAGGCTGGTTCCCAAGGTAGATAACATAATAGCTTTACAGTTGTACAGGCAAGATAGGAATAACACCAACAAAAGCCTAACCTCACCATATGCCACGTCAACAGTCTAGATCATCACACACCGAATGCCACAAACGCGAGAAACGTCATTTTTCATTTGAACAGCCGCCTAAGACCCTTTCTGCTAGTAGAGTGCGGCGCAGTAAAAGCTACGTGGAATGTCATGTCAAAGTGCCCAACCAACTTCCACCACCTTCAGCTCAACAACGCAGCGCGAATAATCAATCACAACACCGCCAAAACGGCAACTGGACGATTAGTCATATCATAACTAACTAGGCTGCCAGTTCATCATATCCTACTTGACTGAAACAAAAGCCAAGATTTAAACTAGGAGAGGTGCTTGTAGGCATCTGCTAAGGTACTTAAAGTGGATAAATTTAAAATATTCAGCTAGGAATGAAAAGCAATAATCACTATGCAATCACTGTATTCTATAAAATAATTGTAGAGCTAGGTGATTTGTTAAAAATATGTGATTTACATTCGATTTTTAGTTTACATTATTACTTTGATGCCATTTTCGAAACATTCCAAAACATCGACAACTGGCAGCTTGGTTTTAAAGTCGCCTTGGCGTGAGCTCATGACGAGGGTGTGCGCAAATGCTAACAGTCAAGGCCGTGCGAGTAGGGAGAAGCCGGTGTGACGGGTGTGTGTGGTTGTAAGTAGCGAGCCCGGCGATCGTTTAAGCTCACGGTGAGTCCAGCAAACAGTTGGTAAATGGTCGTCTTGCACGGTCGCCTTGCGAATAGCTGATTTTGTATGTGGACATGTGCCTGATGCAGGACATTTTTGAGCGACTTCGCGTCACTTGCCTTGGGTTAGGGCGCATAGCCTCCTGGGCTCAAGCGTGTTGTCGCGTCACGTCCTAGCAATGATCTGTTTGAATGCTTCAGAAATGGTTGAAATGTTTCAAAGACCATTTACATCGTCAATTTGATCAGCATCTGACTGTAAAAAGTGCACCGGGTATCGAACGTTATCAAAGCAGCCGTGGTCAGGAATGTAAGATCGGTCACTAAGGCCTACTTTTTGTGCAGCATAATGAATCTACAGTGGTGTTGTGGGGAAATAATGGCATTGTATTTGTCAATTTGGGTTTACTTTGTGATTAACTGTTGAGTCTTCATGGCATTGCCTGCCTTGCAGTCTCCAGCTCATGGCAGAATTTGATGAAATCTTTTTGGGGCAGAGGCCAGGCACAACTTCCAGTTTTTGACAGCTCACCAAAATTTTGTGGCAGAAATTATTTCTTAGACTATGTAGCCTATCAGAGTATGTTTTTCTAGCTTATAAAACAGTATTAGTCAAATTGACAACTGTCATGACAAATAATGTTTTTGGGGTAAGTGATGCAACTAGAATGTGCCCCAATGTGGCAGCTTGCTACCACTGTTAAGGCAGCATTCTGTCTGTGTCAAACATCTCATTGGCATGTTTGCCATAGTTTGCAGACTAGCCTGTCTCTCACTCTGCAGAAAGGGTGAGCACAGCATGGAGTTAAACTTTGCATCTGGTTCCACTGAAGCCTGATGCACTATACTTATTATGCCATATGTATTGCTGCACTCATACTGTACTGATGCTGTTTTCATGTATAATGTTTCAAGCAGCAAACAGTTTTTGGACTGCTGCTTCTAGCTTGCAGTATATATATATATATATATATATATATATATATATATATATATTAGATATGTTGGAAGTTGGTGTGAGGCTTCTGCTAATTTGCTGTCAATTGAATTTGCTCATTTTGGAAATTTTTAGATCTTAGTGTGTGATGAGGCTGATAAGCAGCATGTTTATGGGTTGTATATTGCCCAGTACATGGTCAGGCACAGTTTTGATGTGGATGAAGATGGGAAATGGAATAAATTTCCAGTTGAAGTGTATTAATGACAAGCTTGTCTCTTTTTGCAGAACACCAAGATGTCTGGACCAAAGATAAGCATAGAAACACCTCTTGAAAACCAGGTGTATGAGATAACCTATGATGGAAGGGAGATTCTTCAGCCGTAAGTAGCACATCGTGCTTTGGTATGTGTTCAAGCATAGAAATTGAGCTCAAGTCAATGATTTTCATGATGGGGCCATCAGCAATCATTAACCAAAATTCAGTCACCTTGATTAAAATAAAGATAAACTTGTGCCCAGAAATGTTGGTCAAACTGTAATTCATGCTGTTATATAAAAACATCTGGATGAGCAATATAAATATAAAGTCGTCTGTTTATGTTTGCACATTATGTCAGGATGTCATGTGTGTTTACCATTTTATTGTTCATTATTGCACATTCATGGCCATTTACCCTGCTAAGTGCATGCTCAGGTGCTCCACAGCTGCTTTGCCCACCCAGTATCAGCTAAGCTGTGTGCACCCTCACGCATGTCTCGACTGACCACGCCGGCGCGGCGACGCCCCTCAGGCCACTCTCCATGTCGGAGAACCTGGCGCGCCTGGCAGCCAAGATCGACTGGAGCCGCGCCGACGGCTCGGACGGCGCGGACGAGCCGGCCGAGCCGGCCGCCGAGCCCGACGCCGACGGCGAGCAGCAGGTCACCTCCTTCCAGCAGCCCGCCTGGCCCTGGGAGAGCGTGCGCAACAAGATCAGGTGCGTGGGCGGGGCGGGCGCGCTGCGGCTCGGCTCGGTCGGAGCCCGGCACTCGGGAACCGTCGGACCGAGGCTGTGCTCTCCTCGCGCGCTGCGGCAGCTCCGTCACGTGGGCGTGCGGGCCGGGGGTTAATCGGGGATCTGAAAAATGTTCTTTAATTACCGAACTATATGGTTGGATTATAACATCAACCTGCCAGCTAATAAACTCAATTGAGCGTATACTACTTCTGAGTTGTTGTATACTTGTTTGCTTCTGATTGAGTGCATACTTCTTCTTACTGCTTTCGAAAGGTGAACAGCATCCACTATGTTTTCACACGGAATATACACACAACTCCTGTACGCTCAACCTGGTGTCGGCCTGTAAGCTCTAGCTGTCAGATCTAGCCATTCCCCCCGTGCCAGGGGCCGTACCGTGCGGGAACTAACGGCGCTGCCGTGCGGCTGGCAGGGACGCCTACACGGAGGTGTGCGTGCTCTCGGACGTCCTCAGCATCGCGCGCCACAAGCGCTACATGGTGCTGGACGGCGTGACGCAGGACGCGCCGGAGTCGCGCCAGCTCGTCCAAGTCATCAGCAAGAAGAAGGTACCTCGCGCACGCAACTTGTTTTTCTTGGACTTAACGTCAACTTTTTATGGGATGGATTTCCGGTACCAGCGCGCGCGCGCGCGCGCTAATCAGGAGCTGTTGCGTGAGTCCTGACCCCACCATCCGTCCGTATGATTCTGGATCGGATGCATCGGGTCAGCGGCAGAACCTTTTGTGGCGAGGGCTTACCGTGCCACAATGCTCGACCCGGTTCGTCCTGCCCTCTGACGTCACCTGGCCCTTGCGGCCGCTGTCGCCGGACGCAGGCCGTCCTAGTCGGGAACGAGAGCGATCGCTTAAAGGGTCTCGAACCCACCCCGACACGGGTGCGTGAATCGAGAGGCTTGTGCTGTAACCAAGCAGGCTGTCGGGACGGACGTGGGCATGTGCTCGTTTTTTCCTTGTGCTGTTGATCCGACAAGCCACGTCACACATTGCCTGTCACCCCCGCCTGACCTGACCTGGGCAGGGGCTGGCCACAGCTCCCACCCCTGACCTCGGGTCGCTCCTCAGCACCTGACCTGACCCCGGCAGGGTCTTGGGGCGGGCGGCGCAGATCCTGAACGACGGTGCTGACCGTATGCGCGAGAACGTGGGCCGAACAGCGGCGCAACCGCAACAACAACGACTTCTACACTGAGCTGTTGCGCCTGCGCCAGAGGTGGCGGCTTAGAAAGGTCGGCAACAATATCATCGGTGATCTCAGCTACAAACAAGGTATCTGCCTCCGCTCATCGGTCACGTGTTGCGTCTGTTGATTGGATGTATCACGAGCCCATCCGTCCATTCCGATGAGCTTGTGTATGTTGGTACTGTTTCGAGACACCTTTGTTGGCTAGGGGCTCTGCTGCTGGATTCTCTCAGTGATGCATGTTTTGGTGCACTTCGTTGGCGTTTGTTTTCATCAGAGGGATCCTTAGTCGCTGTTTTTTTGGCCCGAACATTGAGGAAGGCGTGGTCTGCGAACTGTCCCACAGTTTAGCACGGACCCTCGTCTGAGATCCCGGGTTGTGAGTCACCCCTGCGTGTGCGTGTGAGACGCACGCTCCCGCTCTCCACGCCCATCACGGGGCTCGTAACTCTGGCCGGTGCGCGCTCATCGAGCCAGCTGACCTCTCCCGTCGTCGGTCCGCGTTCAGTGGGCTCGCGCTTCTGGCTGTCGGGCACGTTCGAGGTGAAGAAGGCGGAGGAGACGCCGGCGCCGGCCGTCGGCCCGCCGCCGCCGCCCATCGTCGTCACCGTGCCCAGCGAACTCCAGGGCGTCGCGTACATCTACGTCACCATCAGGAAAGGTGCGGTGGCCGCCGCCGGCTGTGGTCGGCGACCGCTACCGACCGGCTGCTGGGTGGCGCTGGCTGTGATAGTGGTCGCTGGTGTGGACTTCACGCTGCGGGGTTGTGGTGTAATGCAACCCAGCCGCCGGTAGGAGTTACCGCAAGGGGTTGCTTGGGCGGCCGTGTGCCTTTGTCGTGACTTCATTGCATGAGAGAGTCACGGTGGACCCACGGGATCTTCTAAACCCGGTTGTTTTCTGGCGTTGGGAGAGCTGTTGGCCTGGCCCTCCGTGGCCTGTGAGTCGTCGGCTGACCCCGCGTCCGCCTGTCCTGCCGCGGCGAACCGGTGCGGCCAGCTCTGTGACCGCCCCCCCCCCCCCCCGCACGCAGACCAGGGAGACGCTGTGCTCGGCGCGGCTGACGCAGCCGGGCGGCGCGCCGGCCGCCGCCGCCGCCGCCAACTCCAGCACTGGAACGACCGGCTGGAGGCCGCCCAGAACGTGCTCTTCTGCAAGGAGCTGATCGCGCAGCTGGTCGCGCGAGGCCGTCCAGCTGCAGGCCAAGCTGCCGCACATGGTGATCGGCAACGAGAATCACGTCCACCCATCTTCCCGGGCATGCCACCTGGTGATCGGGCTGGCGCACAGCGCGCGGTCAGAGGCGGCGCCCGCCGAGCTGCCGCCGCCGCCGCCGGCCGGCCCGCTCAGCGACAACAACTACGTGCTGGAGCACTCGCTGGACCAGCTGCGGCGGCACGTGCACCACCGCACATGCACCACGCCATGCCGCACCCGGCCTCGGCGTCCATGGGCATGAGGCAAGCGGCGCCGCCAGGCCGGCCCCGGCGCCGTCCTCCCGCGCCCAGCTCGTCAAGATGGTCGAAAGGTGGGCCGCTGCGCGAGCTGCTTACCGGGGACGGAGGGTGGGGGGCGGCTGGGGAGGGACTGGTCCGGTGGACTTTTGTGTACGCGGCTCTGGGTGGTGTTGGTGGGAAAGCGCCCTTGTTGGATCAGTGGCAGACCTTAAGCGTGTACCTTGTCTTCGAAATGTTACAGCTGAGAAGATGTGCTGGTGCTGCATCTCATGCGTCCCCCTGTCTTCAGTGAGACCCTGCTGAGAGGATCATCCGCCAGGCCCGGCACGTCGTGTTGCGCATGCGCACAGCGTTCGTGATCGACAGCTGCGCGCGCGACATCAAAGACCCGCTGATCGTCACCCATTGGAACTCGGTCAACTCGCCCACGCAGTGCTGGCTGCAAGGTACGCAGTGCTGCTGCTGACAGTGGCGCCATCACCAGAATATACTCGAGTCATGCAGATACGACGTCAGTTTCTGACCGCTGCGGAGCTACCATTCGCCAGTCGCCGCTAGCCTTCCGAGAGGCTTCTGGTTCCATCGCCGTGCATCGCCGTGAAGCCTTGCCCGTACTGACTGCGTCTCCTGGTATCTGACGGGACTCCCCGAACGCGGCCGGCTGGAGCGCATCCCCCTCCCCCTCCCCCCCCCCCCCCCTAAGCCGTCCGCCGGCCTGGCCGCTCCGGCAGGCGGAGCCGGCCTGACCCGTCCCCCGCACCCCGCAGGTCAACATCGTCACACACGGCTACGACTCGGTGCACCGCACCACCTTCCTCATCAACGTGCTGGAGGACTCGCTGCGCTGTGTGTGCCGCGACGGCCGCGTGCTCACGCTCAGCTACGACTCGTCCGAGCTGCAGTACATCATCTTCTGCCAGGTGCGCCGGCCGGGGCGGGAGGAGCCGTCTTCTGCCGGTGCGGGGCGTACAGGTGGTCTGCTGAGCCTCGAGGCCGGCCGGAGGTTTTCAGCGTTGTGCCGTGGCACTAGTGTACGCGTGGTGCTTAACGTGTTGGTAAGATGTAGGTACCACGTGCTTCGTGAGTTCAGAATTTCGGACCCGTCAGCAAAGGGGTCACACGTTCGACGCACTGAGGAGGGAAATGTATAGTCACTGACTGCCGACTGTGCTGTTTGGAGTAGGTGCGAGCGCAGTGTGATGGACGTCAGCCGCGTATCTGGTCAGGCCATCACCACGCTCCCGCCCTCTGGCATCCGCCCTGTTAGCTGAGCCTCGCACACCGGCCGCCAGGTGTCTCAGCACAACATGCTGGCGGCGCAGTCGTTGGGCCGGATCCTGGGCTGGACGGTGCGCAGCAGCGGCGGCTGGCAGGGCGGCGGCTGCGTGCTGGCCGCGCCCTCGGGCCAGTGCTACGTGGCGGTGCGGTGTCAGCCGCACGGCGAGCCCATCCAGGTGGCCGTGGCTCAGTCGCCGCGGCCCGACTTCTTCCCCACGGCGCTGGTGACCGAGCACAAGTGGGAGCAGCTGGGCGGCGCCTTCAGACAGGTCAGCCGCGGCGAGGGCGCACATTGTCGGTCCGGCCGACCTCGGACGGAGGCGCCGCGCCCGCACATTGTCGCGCCGGGCCGACGTGGGACGGGGGGCGCCGAGCGACGGCGTTGGCCACGTTGGCCACACCGGCCACGTAATCAGGAATACGTGGGCATGCATGTCTCTTTAGACGTTGCTACATCGCTTGCGCACCCCTCGGGTTCCGTGATTTTCAATTTGAGGTGGTTGAGCTTCGCTTTGGCTAGTTTCCGGACGTGATACGTTTGCATTTGTTACGGATGTCAAGATACCTTGTTCCGCAGGTGAAGTGGGAGAAGATGGAGGGACGCAACTTCCTAAACAAGATGGAGCTGCTGATGGCCAACTTGTCCAACAGCACGGCCAACATCATGTGACGCCCTCTCTAGGCCTGCTTCTCGTCGGGGGTCTGTGCATCACACACCCGAGAGAAGTGCTGCGTAACTCCAACAGAGAGAAGCAGAGCACGGCAAGTTTCTTCATAATGACAGCGTACTGTCGGCCTCCGCGCGCGCAACGCCCATGCTGTTCGCTTCCAGCGCGCTCAATACACTGTATTTGTATAAACGCCTCGTATTCCTTACGCAAACATCCATAAGAAAGGCGGCGTCGCCTGAGGCGCGGCCGCCGCCCCATGCCCGGACCTGTGGGGCGGCGGCTGACAAGAAGGCGGACCACCCGGGCCCCCAAGGCCACCGACGGCCCACGCGGGCCGAGAACGAGACCGAACACCGCCGGCCGGGCGGCAGCGAAACGAAAAGGCACGTGCGCTAAAACAACAAGCAGAACAAGCCACTCAAGTAACGAAAAAATAACGTGCGCGACAAACCTGGCGGAGCACCACAAAATACCACAGATCCAAACAGAACGGCGCGGCCGGCGGGTGGCGCCCGCCGCGGTC